TTTTCTGTTCAGAGTGTTGTTACTATTCTTATCTTCGATCTCCTGTTGAGTTCGTAGGTGTTCAGAATGGTTTGATCCCTATCCAGCTGAATTCCTGAGACCAGACGAAATCCACGTCTCCTACTCCTCCGCCATCTTGCTCCCTGACCTCCTTGCCACCTTCTTCTAAGAACCCTTGTGATCACACCTGGGTAATCCGGGTACTTTCCCCATCTACAGACCCTTAACTTAGTCACATCACCAAGTCCCTTTTGCCACATAAAGTAATATTCACAGGTTTTGGGGATTCGGATATGGCTATCTGGGGAGCCATTATTCTGGGGGTTACTGCAGGCAGGTAACCTAATGTGCAGGCTTTTCACGAACACTCCTGGGGCCAGGCACTGGCGAGGGCTGGAGGGACAACACACAGACACTCCAACGACGTGGGGAAGAAGATGGGGCTGTGCACACATGTTCTAGAGCTAGGGGGCATGAAACCATGGAACCAACACCCAAAGAGGCTCGAGCAAAGGTCTGTAGGAGAGACAGAGCGAGGTGAGACAGGAAAGGAAATTGGGGAGCAGAGCACAGAGGACCTTGAAGAGCAGGTTGAAGAGTTTGGATGTGAGCCCCTAAAGGAAGCAGGGCCTGTGTTTCCCATGCCCAGCAGTTACAGAGAACCCCCAGCCAGGCCGGGGGCCCATCTGACAACGATGGTAGCATGTGCCAGCCACTAACAAATTGAGCCTTATCTAGACTAGTCTGCAAAAGAGGCCCCAAGGCCACTTCCAGCGCTCCCCTTCTGTGACATGGAGAGAGCAGCTTTGCAGTCTGACAGGCTGGGCCTGCAACCCACTTACCAGCCTTAGAGAAGTCACTTCACTGCACTGACTCATTTTCCCCAATCAGGAAATGGGCACTGTTAAGACTTGCCTAGCCTCTTGACAGATGTGCTGAGGTACGCAGAGGATTCTAGAAGCAAACAACCTGGACTTGATGTTAGTTTCAGTGGGAGCAAATGAACCAGAAAATCATGGCATTTCAGACAGTAAAGATGATCTAACCTGCAGGGTCCCACATCACAATCAGCTGGGAGGCTTTACTGAAATAAAATCTAATAAAGGGGAATCTACTCTCACAGCCAGGGTTGGAGAAGTCCACCCCTTATGTGAAGCTCAGAGAGACTGTGGGACTCGGCCAAGTGGGGGTCCTGGTTCACCCTCTTGCCCACCCAGCTGAGCATTGAGAGGGTGGGATGGGGATGGGGAGACTGTGGAAGCACCAGCCATCATGGGGAGAGAGCTAGAAAAGGGGACAGAGTGCAAAGCCACCAGACTTGGGGGGGTTGACCCAGGTGGGCCCTGCCTGCTCATCTCCACAGGAGCCAGAATTTCCCCCATCCAATACGAACCAAGAGCTAGAGGGCAGGAGTCACACTCAGAAACACAAACCAGGCCCTTGCTAGGTGAGCTCCAGGCAAAAGCCCCCATTTAGAAGGGCAGGCTGGTGCAGGCCAACTTAAGCCTGGCTCTCTGGGGTCCCAGGTTAATTCATCACCATAACCCATTGTTCTTGACACAGAAATAACTGCTAATATGTTCATGATAAACTGCTCCTTCTCCCTTCTGCCACTGAATAATATGATTTATGTAAGATTTATGATTTATATAAAAATTCCAGAATGGACCTTAGAAATATCATCAGAATCCCTCCTTTCATAGATGGGGAGACAGGGGGCCAGATAGAGAAGGGTAAGGTCAGCTCCACACAGCTGGTCCAACACTAGAAAGTGCTGCATGTTTCTAGCATCATTCCAATGGTGAAGTTGGGGTCAAGAACATGTGGGGGATACACTGGACCAGATAGGCTTCAAATCTGACCTTGCAGGTCGAGCTGTCTCCACCCACAGGCTCTCTACCTGGCACATTGAAACCAGGGGTTGAGGACCCCAGAGTGTTGAGGGAACAATGGACCAAACCTAGGGCCACTCTGCTAGTCACCATCACTAGAAAGTGAGGATCCCCCCAGGGGGCTAGGGGATGGGGTGTTAAGGCTGACAGCCTCTCAGCCTCCTGGTGTTGGCCCTGCGTGTAACCAGATGGAGATGTGGGCATCCCAGTGGGATGCGACAGGGCAGAGCGATGCTGTTGCTGAGCCTTCCCGCAGGGCCACCCAAACTGACCAAGGGCGTGTGTCTCTCTGTGTTCTCCAGGAACATCTCCTGGCTCCAAGATGGCCTTGCAGAGTTCCTTCACCTGCTGGAACGGGACCGTCCTCCAGCTCGGGCAGGCCTGCGACTTCCACCAGGACTGCGCCCGCGGAGAAGATGAGGACCAGCTGTGCAGTGAGTAGATGGGGCTGCACCACCCGCCCCAGCCCAGCCCACGCCTTCAGCCCCCTGCCCCCATCACCCCAGGCACGTGACCTTGGACACCCTTCCTCACATCCGGTGCCACTTGTGTCCTCTCAGTGGTGACTTCCAAAAGCTACACAGTCTTCAAGAGAAGGAGCTAAGAACCAAACAGGGTCTTGTAAGTTATGCTGTCAGCATCCTCATGGCACAGAGAAGATGTGCAGCGTAAAGCCTAACTCAGGAACATGACATCAGAAGCCCTCTGCGCCCAGACTCCCTGCCCCCTCCAGGCTGTCTCTTCCACCGCCCACCTGGCCCTGCCATCCGCCCGAGCTTCCATGTACCCCAGCCAGCTGGATCAGACCGCTTCTCTGTGGCTTTGCTCGGGCAGTACCCCTGGCCCAGAAGGCCCTTTCCTTCTCCAGGCATGTCTGCTCCTCCACGACTCACATCCAGGGCACCTGGGTGGCTCAGTCGGTTAAACATCTCCCTCAGGTCAGGTCATGATCCCAGGGTCCTAGGATCGCGCCCCACATCAGGCTCCTGATCAGCGGGGAGGGAGCTTCTTCCTCTCCCTCTGCCCCTCCCCCTGCTTATGCTCTTTCTCTCTCACACTCTCTCTCTCTCAAAGAAATAGAAAATAAAATCTTAAAAAAAAGAAAAAGACTCACTTCCAGAGTCAGTCCTTCTGGAAAGACTCCTCTAATCATTCCCACAAGTATCACCCCAACAAGTACAGTCGGTTCTTCTTCCTCTGGATGCCCCCCCAATTTGGTGCATCCATCCATTATTTATTAACAGCTTTTTAGAAATATAATTCATATTCCATACAACTCACCCATTTAAAGTACACGTTTCAGTATTTTTTCGTATGGTCACAGGGCTGTGCCACCATCACCATAATCTGATTTTAGAACATTTTTATCACTCCAAAGGTAACCGCTAGCAACCTTTCTTCATTTCCCTCCAATCTCACCTCCCCTACTCCCCACACGACCCACTAGCCCTAAGCACCCCCTAATCTACTTTCTGTTTCTATAGATTTGCCTATTTGGGGCATTTCATATAAATGGAATCATACGATACATATTCTTTTGTGCTTAACCTCTTACACTTGGCATAATGTTTTCAAGGCCCATCCCTGTTTGTCATGTGTAAGTACTTCATTCCTTTTTAGTGCCAAATACTATTTCATTGTATGGCTAATAGCACATTTGTCCATCTATTCATCAGTTGATGCACATTGGAGTTGTTTCTACTTTCCGGCTATTACAAATTATGCCGCTTTGAACATTCGTGTACATGTTTTTGGATGGACAGATGTTTTCATTTGTCCTGGGCATCTACCTAGGAGTAAATAGCTGGGTCAGCTCTGTATTTGACACTTTTAAAAACTTCTAGGCTGTTTTCCAAAGTAGTTACACCACCTGACATTCCACCAGTAATGTAAAAGTTTCTAGTTTCTCTACAACCTTGTCAACATTTATTGTGATGTCTTTTGATTTTTGCTGTGGGCTGACTGAATCTGGTACTCTCCCCCAGACCAGTATCTCCTGGAACAGCCTAGGGGGTCACTAACTATTTGTTGATTTAAAATGACTAAATGTAGGGAAATTTGTCCCCATAGACAAAAACAAATTGCTGAGGTCTCAGTGGTAGTTGGGGACAGAGTTAGACTCCCAGGCTAGTGCTCGCTCCACCTGAATCTGGTGTTCTCAGCAGCTGTCTGGCTCAGAGTATACACACGCATGCCAGGGGAACCACAAATACTTATAAAACCCATATATTATGAGCTAGAAAACGTACTAGAGCCTACAGCAGAGATAAATAACACAGCCTCTGTCTTCAGAGTGCTGAAAATCCAGCTTAGGGGCAGGGAGTGAGACCACAGAGTCCCAGCAGGGACCAGATATGGCACATGTGTCCCTGGGGTGCTGTGGGGCCCAGACACAGAAGCAAATGCCTCAACCTCTCAGATTCACTGGCCCTAAGACCTTGTGGCCTGCAAAATGGCTTTAAAAAGTTAACGGTAACCCCCACATCATCTAGAAGACAGATTTTTCCCTTGGGGGGTGAAAAGGTTTTGTTTATTCTCTTTTAAATGAAGTAATAAAATCCATTTTTCAATTTGAAAAACTTCCTTTTTATATAAAACTTTCCAGTGAACTTTTCCAATCATGATGGAATTGTGGTTGTTTCGATAAAACTCAGCAAAGACTTGCAGGTAAGCCCTTTGTTTATCCCACACTGTTCCCGGCCTTTCTCACAAAGCTCTCACTATACACGTGGACCAAAATGAAGCCAGCCCACCCATGTTGCCCTGGGCAGGGTTTTGTGTGTGTCTCTCTAGTTATTGGTCCCTGCAGTATTTCCAGCAGTGCATCTGAGCTGTGTGATTTTGTTTTTGCCTTTTTAAAGTTTTTCGATACCCACTTCCCAGCTTGGACACAGGTCAGGCTGGCCATGCCCTGATTCACAATTGGGGAAATGAAAGCACAGAGAAGGTAATTGATTTGTTTGGGGTCACACCTCTGTCAGGAACAGAGCCATGATTAGAGCACTGAGTCTGTGGGATCCAGCCCATTACTGTGGGCTCAGGGCATTTTCTCACCATTCTGGGGCTGGCATTAATGGATTTCCAGGGCCAACTCCAAGCTTGAGGACAGCCTGTCTCCCCTCTGGAGGGCAGGTTCCAGGAGCCCAGAGGCCTTTCCAGCCACACTTGAAAAGCTGCTCTGACCAGCTCTCAGAATGACAGCTCCACCCTGGAGAACGCCCCCACTGAGTTCTTTGCTATAGAAATCAGTTGCTGGGAGGAGAAATTCAATTCAGAAGGAGGGTTATAACAATCTTACCACTCTGATCTTGGCAGTACTCTTAGCAAATATCCTTCTCCTTTTTAGCATGCCCCATTCTGCCTAGCATCATTGCGGTTTTCCCTATCACACTGATGTTGATTCTAGAAAACATCCCCATAAAGAAGAAGATAATAATGACGATGATGATGATGATGATGGTTAACATTTATTGAGCATTTACTGTGTGCCAGGAACTGTCCAAATACTTTTCATGTATGAACTTATTTTGTCCTCAAAACAATCCTATGTGATGCTATTATACCCATCTTAGAGATGAGGAACCTAAAGTCCATGAAACTGTTAACCAGTGGTTGAGCAGCAGTTCAGACCCAACCTGAACCACTGCGAGCCAGACTCACTTGTTATATCAGTTTCTAGTGGTTGGTTGTGCCAAGCACAACACTAGCTACGTATCTACCCAGGAAGAAGGGGTGGAAGGGAAAAGTCAAGGAAGGTCCAGAGCTCTGTCACAACATTCCTCTGCGGGAAGAAGGGGCTCAGATCATTTGTCTTCAGCCTCTGGGCCTATTTCCTCACCTGTAATATAACCTATAACATGATGCCCACTGATATGTTGATGTTTGTGATGCATTTAGGACAATGGTCTTGACTTGACATCACCTGGTCCTTCCCAGCTGGTCTGGAACCTGTTAGAATGTCTTCTCTGAGCAGGTGGTCACCCAAGCCTTGTTGGGAACGTCCTGTTCTAAGGAACCCCCATGAGTGAGGGTCTCTAATCTGTGGCCAGGGTAGTCCACTAAGCCCCTCCATGGTTGGAATTTGGAGGGGAAAGTAGGTTGTATCCCATCAACTCCCAGCCTTAACTCCCCATACTTGCTCTGAAGGAAGTCCACACACAGCTTCATGCAGATTATCAGACTCAATCCTGAGCACCATTTCAAGCCAGGACAAGTAGGGTACCTGAAATGGAGGTGGCATTGCCCTTGCCCTCCTGCATCCAAGCATGAATGTGTCCATTCACATCGCATCCTCCAAACCACACACCTCACACCATCTTCCTTCCCTCTTTCCGCTTCAACATTGCTGATCCCAGTGAGATATCCCAGAATGCTGGAGCCCATCAAAGGGTATTTTCAGGGTTCCCTGTGTGTCAAGCCATGGCCTCAATGGCATGTGACTCCCCAGAAAATGGTCAGGTGTCTCCGCTTCCTCCCCTGATAGGTCATTGACTCGCTGTGTAATCCAGGCACTTCGCTTCCCCTCCCTGTACTCACTAATCCCATCTGTTTGGTGGAGACACTCTTCCTGCCAGGCAAAAAAAAAAAAAAAACATACAAACAAACAGTTTTTTAAAGTTTATTTCTTTATTGTAAAATAAAACATATTGCCTGTAAAATATTTGGAAAATCTAGAAAAGTACACAGGAGAAAATAACTATCACCTGTCATCCTCCCTCTCAGACATTCAGAGATAACCATAATATGGTGATGTATTTCTTCCAGCATTTTTTCCCGTGACTCTATATTTTCAAGGAAATGTATAACACCTATTTATCAAAAATGTTAACAGAGCTGTCACACAGGAAGGAAAAGAAGTAGTGTCATTTGGCCTGGAGTTTATACTTGGCAGCTTCCTGCAGCCCCTGCTGAGGCCACATCTTTGCGACTCTCCCAATTTGTCTCTCTTACAGTGGAATCAGGTGTCATAATTGCCAAATGTTGCAGGATTGATTGACCCCCACGCAGGCTGATTTGGCCATCCAGCCAACAAAGTAAGAGGATCAGTTAGGACAGTGTTTCTCGGTGGCCACTACCGTACATAGGAACCACCTGGAAAATGTTAGAAATGCAGATTCTCACTACCTACTGGTAGTTATGGGGGAGGTGGCCTGAGAGTCTGCACTTCTAGCAGTTTCACCAGTGATGGTGAGGTGGGTGTGGCTAGTCCCTGCACCACATTTGGAGTAGCAAGGGGTTAGATGACTGAACCCACGCCTGTTTCATTCAGCAAGTAAGTATTTTGGTCCTACAGCGCGCTGAGCCCTGAGTAGGCTCTTGGGGTAAATGAGAGGAGAAAGCCATGATCAAAGAAGGAGTTGAAACCACTGGACTCAACTCTGCACGCCAATGTTGTGCTCAGCCACTGGCCCTGGCAGCAATGTCCCAAACCTGGCCCTAATCCATCAAGGGTCTTTGTTAGGACACCCCCCACCCCACCAGCTTCCTTAGGAGTAGCTTCTCATTGAGCGCACACAGGCTGTGTTGGCAAGAGTAGCAATCCTCTCCTCCTGCGCCCCCTCCCATCCTGCAAGGCTTTCAGGATCACAGAAATTGTCCATTGACCCAACTAGTTCACCTCTCTCCTCTCCCTTTATTCAAGCAGCCAAAAAGAAAGGGGCTCCCAATCCCAGCTCACCCTGGATCTTAGGCAAAGCCAGCACAACGATGGGCTTCCAGAAGGTGGAGAACACCAATGGCTTTCCTCGTTCCTGTCCCAGGGGGAAGGCATGGGCAGAACTACCATGGGCATTTCCAGAGAGGCAGCCGAGGGCTCTGTCTCTGCCCCCAGGGCAGTGTTGACTGTTTCAGTTCATCCTCTGATGAGTCCGGGAATGATCGATGATTCATAATGCCACCACCATCCTGTACTTCCCTCAACTGTCTGCTTACAAAACTCCACACTCTCTGCTGTATTTGACCCTCAAAACAGCCCTGTGAAATAGACACTAATATTGCCCCATTTTACAGATGACAGAGCTACATCTCTGAGGGAAAGTGACTTGCCTAGAGTCACACAGCAGAAAGCAGCAGGTTAGGGCTACCTCCAGGTGTCCAAATTCCAGGACTGTTGAGGCTAACTTCTCAGTCTTTGCCTCCTAAAAGGGGAAGGAGGGAGTGATAAGCTGTGAAGGCTTCAACCCAGCCCTGCCTCCTCCTTCTACCAGGAGCCATTGCCTGCTAGAATCTTCCATCATGGTCCCTGGTTTAAAGCACACCTGTAAAGGACGCTTCGTGGAAGGTCACTTCCAGCTACCAGTTAGTTTTTGCAAAAGAAGTGGATGTGGGGTCCCTTGAGGGGGCATAAAAAATAAAACAGAAAGATCTCCTTAGCTTTTGGATTTTTAATCAGAGGAACATGCGGGGCTTGGGGGGAAAATGATTTCTTCAGGGGGGTATAAATGGGAAGAGACGTTCAAAGTCAGTGACAGCCGGTTTTAATTTATAATTCCGCCTCTGTGTGAAATGCACAGAGAATCAGGGGGAAATGAGTAATAATTCACTAAGGTGCTGTCATAGCCAGGAAGCGTTAGGACCCTCTTTGTCAGCCTGCCATTGCCGGGAAGGCTGAGACAGAGGAAGGACACAGAGAGTGGTGGGTCCAGCTAGAGCGCCTTTCCTCCTGCTCAGAGACATAGTCCTGCTGCTTCTCCCCAGCCTGGCCTGGGGCTGTTGGTGCTGTCGGAATAGCCTGGAATGGCCCACTAGCTCCTCAGGGCTGGGTGCCTTCCCTGCAGCCATTCTCTGAGCAAGCCACAGAGAGTGAGCTCTCTTGGACCCTCTTCTCCTTTCCTCCTCCTTCTGCAGGCACTTGGAAAATATATGGTCATAAAGCTGACTGTGGCCTTTTCAGTGGGACCCGAGGTCAGCCTGATGTAGAGAAAAGGGTAACAGGGCCCTTTATGCTGAGCCAACAGATGATATAAAGGGGCCCCGTGGCTGGCATTGCTCAGCCAGGGTAAGGTAGGTTAGAACAGTAATAAGCCATCCCCAAATTTCAGGGGCTTAACATAACATTTAGAGTACCTGTGCACCGAAGCGGGGGGTGGCCCACTGTCAGACAGCAGCGGTCTCAGGAACAAGAGCTCCCCTTGGCCGCTTCAGCAGGGAGAGAGACTGAAGAATTGCACAGGGGCTCTCTGCAGCCTCAATCCAGAAGCGACACACATTGCTTCCACTCACATTTCGTGGGCCAGAGCTACTCACGTGGCTTCCTTTCACTGGAAGGGAGGTGGGAGATAAAGGGGGGCAAGTAGAAAGCTTGAGCAGTATGTGTCTCTGCAGACAGGAACGACTGAGGGATCCAACCGAGTCCCACCAACACTACCACTGCCACGAGTTCTTGTCACTGTGTCGACCATCAGAAATGTATTCCAGGGCCTTCTCCTCGGGTCACATTCGCAGTGGATCAGAATAAGGAGCACAGACTTAGAAGCAGAAGATCAGGGTTCAAGCCTGGCTGTGTTACCTACTGGCTGTGTGACCTTGGTCAGATTGCTTAACCTTCCTGAGCTCTCCTCTGCCACATATAGAACTGGGTTATTCCCCTGCTACCGCACTATTATTATTATTATGACTATTTTATTTTCTGAAGATCATGTGTACACGTTAGGGACCCGGGCTTCTTTTCATTATCATCAGTATCGTTAGACATCAAGAGTCCAGCTGGGGAGCTGTAGTTGATGAGGATACTTGGGTCACGCCTGGCTAATGTTACTTGACATTGGCATATTTTGCTTTTAGCAGTCCCAGAAATGACCATGCCCCTGTGCTTTCCCTGCAGGTAAACTCCCTGCTGGTTTTTACTGCAACTTCGAGAATGGCTCCTGTGGCTGGACCCAGGGCACACTCGCACCCCACAGCCCCCGGTGGCAGGTCAGGACCCTGAAGGATGCCCAGGGCCAGGACCACCGAGGTACTGTTGCTCTCTTCCCTTCCCCCTGCTGCCCGTCTGGCCAGACAAGAGACTTAGGGCCCTAGCCCAGAATAGCTAGACCTCCCCATCCCTGCACGGCAAGGTGAGGGGACTGCACAGAGCTTGCCCTGGGGTGCTCTCTCACAATTCCCTCTTCAGATTTCCTGGGCTTCAGAATGATTAAATCAGGCCAAGGTAGATGTCACCTCTGATTCCCTAAAATGAGAACCTGGATGAAGGATTGGCTAAAAGATAAGAGTGGCAACAATAGTAATCATTCATTCATTCATTCACTAAGTGTTTGTTGAGAACCAACTTTGTGTCTGGCACATAACTCACTGAGAGGTAAGGAAAACCCTAGCTCTCTATGGGGAGGCTGATGCACAGGGAGGCCTTGTGTCATTGGGCCCAAGGTCATGCCCTGGGAACCTAGCCCCGCATCTGGTCCATTCCCTGGAGCCCAGCCTCCTCAGCAATATCTCCCATCCCTGCCCAGCTCAAGCTGGCAACTTCCACCTTCCCAGGGCCAGAGCCCATCCTCCCACTGCTCCTGCTGGCCTGCCAGAGGAACGAGGGCCTCACACACTCAAGAGATGGCCACCCACACCTGGGTGAGCTGACACTACTGGAGACATGGCTGGGGCATGGAATGAGGGAGGAATGAGGCAGGGCCTGTGAGGCCAGCACAGCTTCCAAATTTGGGCTGCTGGAGAGGCCGGCCCACCCAGCCACGGGCCCAGCCTTGGGCTCTACCCAGTGGCTAGGCCTGGGCAGGCCCTGTGGCCCACCTCTCTGCAGGATGGAGCTGGTGTCAGCGGCGGGGGCTCTCTCCCCTTCTCTCCCCTGCATTTATCTACTCTTTGTGGAGTTAGAGCCCCTTGTACCAAATCCCTCTCTTTCCGAGCAAAGATCATACAGCCTATGGATCCCTCTAAGAATTAATAATAATAATAGTGATGATGATCAAAGTGTGAGAGAGGACAATGTCCAGACCCACCACTGGAGATCTGAGCCCATGCGGTCCTGTCCTTGGCCCTCGGAGCTAACTGCACCCGAGCGAGCTGGCTTTGGCCCGGGAGGAAGCAAGCTGAGTTACTGCAGCCACAGGAGACTCTCAGCAGAGAGGAGGCCCCAGAGCTCCTGCTTCTCCTCCCGGCCTCCTCACCGTACTGCATCATCCTCAGCACCTTGTGGAGGAGAAGAGAACAGAAATGGGGCTCAAAGCAAGACATGATCTGCATGTCTCTGCTCTCAGTTCGGTAGCCTCCCGTGGCACCCATAACAAGTAAGCATCCGACCCTGGCCGAATACCTCTAGTGACAGGGCCCTCACGGCCTCCTAAAGTAGTCCCTTCCATTGATTGCTGCAACCAAAGACCAGTTTTCCTTTCCCAGAGATAAGTTCCACCTCTCCGTAAATTCTACTCATGGATCATACTTTCTGTCTCCCGGAGCCCTTTGGAACTCAACTATTCCCTCTCTCACCAAAGCAGCCCCTCAGATATTCGAAGACACTGGTTGTGACCCACCCACCGTGTGAAGGACTTCTCTCCCTAGTCACAGATTCTTCCTCAAGGATGGGCCACATGCATTCTAGGCTTTCTGGCCTGTCTTGGTTACTCTGCTCTGGACCCACTTGAATTTGTTACTTGGTAGTAACCCCAAAACAGACTTTGCTAAGAGAGAAGAGCAGAAATGAATGAGTAACGTCCTCTGTGCGGTTCTGTGGCGTACCTAAAAGGTTGCAGGAGCACCCTGACACCTGTCTCCATAGCACTGACCACCTACAAAACACTCTGTACTTCCTGGATGTTTCCAGATGCTTCTTCCCAACCATGTGGGGTTGGAGGCTCATGTTCTCCCAGGTTTGCAGACAGATCGATGAAAAAACACAAGAAATAAGACTTCCTGGTCAGGTCATGGGGCACGGGATGACCTGGTGGAAGAGAGTGAAGGTCGTGGAGACCACTGGAGGGCAAAAGGCTGGCAGGACTGGAAATGGGGAGAGGTGGGGGAGTCCAGCGTGCTTCAGGCTGCTCCTGGGCTATAGGCTAAAGCTGGTGACTTGGGGAGATCAGGGATGCAGTAGCTCGGGATGTATGATGCTGGGATATTGTGGGGCATTTGGAAGGAAGACCTGTGCATGAGCCAAGTTTTGTTGACAGTGACAAGCAGACTGCCTTATCCATTGGACACCAGAAAGCTGTGTCCTCAAAGATGTTCCAAGTCTAGAGAAGAATGATGCAGAGCCCATTAACCCTGCACCCTGAGGCACTTCAGTGCATGAAGATGGTGCATTTCTGACCCTTTTCCTTTCTGCCCTAGGCCATGCCCTGTTGCTCAGCACCACTGATGTCCCTACTTCTGGAAGTGCTACAGTGACCAGCACTACGTTTCCCGCCCCGATGAAGAACTCTCCGTGTGAGGCAAGTCTCAATATTCCCTTAATTCTTGGACTGCTCCTCCCACTCCTCGCCTTGGGCACTTCCAGCCGAACCCAAACATAAGCAAAGTAGCCTGGGTAGTAGGCTGCTTGTTCTCCTGGGGGGTGGGGTGAGGACAAGATGGCATTTTGGTCATCTTTTAGGCAGAGGGCATGCACCAACACGGTGAGGTCCCGTCTGCAGAGAATCTTACCTTAAACACCCATACTCAGCTACACTGGGCTCTTTGCAGTGGGGCCTCGATTGAAGCAAACCCAGAAAATATTTCCAAGGCATAACAGGGGAGGGTAATAGTGATCTACAAAAGACTTTCTACACAAGCCTTTTTATAAACATCCAGCTCTTGTGATACATTTCAAATTTTATAGAGCATCAAAAATTTGATCTACATAAATTTCACTAAGATATCGGTGGCATTCGGTAAGGTACCTCCAAAGCCACTTGCCTGGATGGTTCCTGTGGCTATAACATCTTTAGTGTGTGGACTGAGGGGCTTGCCATGTTTCTTAGCTTAAGGTCATAATCTCTAGAGAACAAGAAATGTGCTTAAACCTAAACATGGCCCAGTGAGTAAGCTCATGGACTCTGGAATCAATTGCCTGAGTCCAAGCTAGGTTCCGCCACTGATTGGCTGTACAGTTTGTTTGGGAAGTTAATAACCTCTCAGGGCCTCAGTCTTCCCACCTGGAAAGTGGACACAACAGGATTGCCTACCCCAAAGAGGAAAGGATTAAATAGGTTAATATGTACTCAGGCCTTATCACGGTTCTTGGCACAAAGTAAGTGTGACAGTACTTAGCCAACAGTGCCTGGTACCCTGAGGAAACAGGTAAGGAGAATGGGGAAGGAGGGAAAGGACATGAGCCAAAACCAGATTCCAAGTTCTCCAAGAGCCCCACATGCCTCTGCTTCTTTATGCCACCATCAACATCTTGCACTTGAGTAGAAAGCCAACACAGGCTTTAGATTTGGCCAGTCCTCTCCTTCTGGAAACGCACAGGAGAAATCCCTTCCTGGCTTTGTTTCAGGAATAGCTACGTGCCCCCTGAGCAATTTGTTTCCTTCCAAGCTGTGGACTCTGTGAAACTGACCAGGCTCGCTTCCCCTGCGCTGGCTCCGCGGAGCCCCCAAGCCCTGGGGAGACAGGCTTCGGTGGCTCAGGGACACAGCTAAACTCAAGCCCTCCAGGCTTTTTGTGAGATACAAACTCACAGGCAAGCACAAATAAGCATGGAAAAGATGTATCAGTGAATTTTTTTTTTTAATCGGAAGAGTGGTCAAATTAAGTCTGAGGCTCCACTCTCAGTAAGCAAAGAGGGGTTCATGATGTGTAGTCCGTAGCAGCCTCACTCCCGGCTTGATTTTCTAAGCCAACGTTTGGCCAATTTCTCACCCCCTTCTAGTTCGTTTATGTTACCTTACTAGATGTTACATATCTCTGTGAGCCACCTTAAGTCCTTTTTGGAAGAAGTCAGGGCACAAATGAATAGATTCATTACATGAAACTGTATCTGAGAAATCCTGTTATCTGATGCAGGTGGTGGGTTACACAGTCTTCGCTGAAATTTCTGAGGTGCCTCCCAGCGGACTCCTGGGAGGGAAGGCTTCTTAAGAGGGAAATCTAAATGCGGAGAGGCGGTTGGCCTTCTTGAGAGGTCAGGGGGATCCTTAAAAGCATTTGATTTTTAAATGTATTCTTCACTTGATTTAACAGGGGCCTAATTTTAGAGTAAGAAATGTCAAGGTTAAAAATGATATTTTTCTAATACTTCATCATTTCCCTGATAACCTTTGGTTGATCAATAGCTTAAACAGGTGTTTTGTTTTACTGGCCTGTTTTATTTTCCCTCCAGTCAAATTTGCTCTGGGCTATTTCTGCTATTTCCTGCCCTTTTCCAGAACTTGGCTCAGCAGGAGTAATGAAGGGAAGGCAGTGAGTCCATTCCATTCTCAGCACACAGCTCGTTCATGTTCAGGTTTGCAGACCATTCATCTAGTGCTGATGGGTCTTGAATTCCCAGTGTTGGGGGAAATGTTTTCATCAGAAAAATAAATAACCAAAATAGAAATATGCACTTCCAGGTTTGTAAGCCTTGCCATTTATTTTATTCAGCTCCTAAATGCAGAAGCTGCAAGTTGATTTCCTCCTCCCAGGTTGGTGAACGTCGGTGACAGGGGATGGTGCGTTGCTGTGTGAACTGTGTGGGGTTACCTCAGGGCCTTCAAACCCCACCAACTTGAGAGGGGCCTTCGTTGGCCTTGGGGACAGGTACAGGAAGGGGACACGAGGCAGAGATGGGTGACAGTCTCTGATGAGGGTCAAGCGCACAGGGACCAAGAGGCTGGCCAAGCTCCAGGGCTGACACCCAGCACTGAGCATCTCCTCTTAACGAAGACCAGTCCTGGGAGCCCTAGGGTCCCTCCAACTCTTGGGAGTTGAAGTAGTTGCAGAATATCTCAAAATGCTCCCTCAAGAAACCCCACAATCATCATCTGATTCCCAAAAGGGAGCTGGCGTCGCCTTCTGTGCGTTTCCTTGAAAATCTAGATACAACCTGACCAGTAGGACTCTGTTTCTCCAGTTGCCGGCACTTAGAAAATGCAGTCAGTGGGGATTCCTAGGTCTCACCCCAGGCCTCCCTGATGAGGCCCCAGAGCGGCGGGGCCTGGGAATCTGTATTTTTCAAACCGCACTCTCAGCGATTTAGATGCACATTGACACTTGAAAATACTTGCCCAGAGGTGCGCCTGCCAGTTATAATGGAAATTCTTTCTGAGTCGGTGCAGACAGTCTTCCGCCACTACCTGTGATGTAACTTGCCTTTTAGAGAGATGAGTCAGAAGTGGTGAGAAATGACCCAGGGGGACGGGGGGAGGGCATAGGCGATGGAGACAGAAGGGGCCAGGAAAGCAGCACAGTAGAAGGCAGGTCAGATGCCCACCGATCGATCGTGGAGACATAGCCAGGATGTGCCTTTGTGCCAGGCAGCTTCCCGGGTATTCCAGAAGCCCACCGGCTCCAGCCCCCTGCCCCCCCCCCTCACCCCTGATGCCTGCAGTCCCCACCGCTGGCCCCGTGCCTCTCTCTGGCCAGCCTCATGCAGGCACGGCCTGCTCCTCCCTATGGCCACACACTTGCATACGGGGCATGAATATTTAAAGACCGATGCCTAGCCCAGCCACAAACAACAGAGAGCGTTGTGGTTTTTTTTTGTTTTTTTTGTTTTTGCCTCCCCCAGGCTTTGCTCCGCGGGAAACTGGAGAGCCACTTACAATATTCAGATTTTATTTTATTTTTATTTTTATTTTGCGGAGCTCCAGTTCAAATAATTAAAGTTGCCACCGGGGAGGGGAGTAATGCTGTGGCTTTCGTGTGCTCGCTCGCCGTCAGCCCTGCTCTGTCCTCCTTAGCTGGGAGACACACTCGGATGTGTCTAGCGTCGCAGCTGCTGGTAATAAAGAGGACGGGGAGAGTCGGGAGGGGGGCTGTCTCCGCCCTTCCCCCTGCCTTTCACACAGCCCAGAAGCCTGAATGTCTCAACAAGCCCTGTGCGGTTTGAAATTCTATTTTATTTGAATAGCCTGCCTGTGACTAGAATATTTTAAACCGTGTTCTCAGGACAGAACAAAGCCTGGGAAGAGAAAAAGTGGACTTCCCTCGTTCACTTTCCCTCTCTCCAAAGCATAAGCAGCTTTTCTTCTCCGAGCTGCAGGAACAAAAGGGGCCCAGGAAGTGGGATGTGACCCACTTGATGGGTGATGACACCCAAGGGCAGGTGAGTTCCCAGCTGCTGGTTTTCTGACCTTGCCGCAGCCGAAGCCACCTCTGCCCTGCCCCCACATACATGTGCATGCACATGGACATAACCCCTGGCACCCTGGAACACACCTGGGGCCTTTCTGCCCCTGATGTCAGCCCTGTGGTGATAAGGGGGTCAGCTTCAATTAGCCTGGGTCTCCTGAGATGAGGACAGAAGGCCACCAGCAGGCCTCCTCCGGTCAGCAGGGGAACTGGCCTGCAGGGAAGGAGCTCTCCATTCAGTGTCATTAAAACCAGTAAATGTGGTCCAGAGGGACTTGAGAGAGCAGTCTGGCATCTGAACTTGCCTTCTGCCATCTGTTAAGCCCTGCGCAAAGCCCCACTGAGAAGGGCCCCCTTAGGGCAGGCAGGGCCCCGAAGGCTGGAGGCCAGGGAATTTTTCAGCAAATTGCTCTCTGGTTGACTTGGTGAGACTTTTCAGGATGGCGGAGATCATTCCTGGACACGGGGCCCATCCTTCCAGGGATCTGGCTGACAGGGTGTTCTCCAGCATCTCAGGGTAACTCAAAGACAAAGTAAGGTGAGCCATGGCTGGTGTCGTTTGGGTTTATGTAAGCTGACCCCACTCTCTCCCGGGGGGCGGGGGGGCAGACAAATAGCACTTTCAGACAAGATGAAGAGAAATTCTTTTCTGTTTTGTTTTGAGAGTTTATTAAACTCAGTGGCAGAATCCTCCGTGGAAAGGCAAAAGACAAGGATGAGCAATCCTGATCATTATAGGATGGCTTGATGTAGAGGAGAAAACAGAAGGAGAAGACTCTTCCTTTAGCAGTCCCCACTAAGGGCATTCTGCTCTGCTGGCTTTACGGAGCAGATCTGGGAGCAGATCTGGGTGCGGGCTCACGCAGGGCTGCCCAGGGGGTGAGAGCGGCCCTTCTCAGCAAGGCAGGAGAGGAATGTACTCAGAGATGCGTAGCCAGTAAATGCAAAATCAAAAGCAAACCCAGGCCTTTTAGTCTGAGCCTCATGCTCTTTCTGTCACACTGCCCTGCCCCGGGAGTGGGGGGCAGGGGGGCCGTGTTACCTTCTCCACTTGTGGGGCACTGCCGTGAGCCTGCATAGCATCGCTGAGGACTGGCATTGCTCTTGCCTAACAGAGCCCCTGCCCACCCACCACAAACTCCTCATCTCTGGAGGCAGGAAGGAGATACCGCCCCATTTT